CTGGGCTGCCACGGGCAAACCCAAAAAAAATTTCTTTTTTTTTTTTTTTCATAAGGGCCGCTGCAAGCTGGCCCAAAAGAAACCAAAAAAAATTGCTCTTTTTTCTTTTCTTGGGCTGGGCCGCTGCAAGCGAGCCCAGATAACAAAAAAAATTGTTTTTTTTTCTTTCTGTCACACGGGCCGAGAGGCTGGAGCCCACTAGGGCTCGGGTTGCAGGACCAAAACATCCCAGCCGTAGCTGGGTGTGTCCATCGGGGAAGAAGGCCGGTCTTTGATTGACGGCGCCAGTGCAGGCGACAGTCCATGGTCTGTGCAAACCATGGGTCGTCGGAGAACCAAGTACTCATCGACGGAGATGAAATCTCGACGTCGGGGCAAAGAGAACCAAAAAAATTCAACTGAATTCAAATGAAAAACCCATGGAATTCTTCTGGAATTTCACGGAATCGTTATTGAAAACGATGGGTTGTGTCCAATTTGCATGACTGTCGGTCATGTTGCGTCGGAAGAGTCGACGGCAAGGACCTGGGCTTCAGGCCGTAGGTCGGGACAAGGTGCTTCAAACGCACCGTGTGGTTCCATGCTTGCGGGTGTGGGTTCTCGGTTTGGGTTGGGCCATCGCAGGCTGCTGGCCTGGTGGCTTGCGGCCTTGCATGGTGCAAAGGCACGGGTTCGACTAGAACCCTAATTCCCCAATCGCAAAAAAATATTTTTTTTTCAATTCAAATATAATTATATGCATGTAAAATTCAATGAATCACATATTTACGTTGATGCATATGCAAATAATAGTTTCAATGCATGTACATATGTAAGATTCAATTCATGACAAATATCAAATTCACATAATTGTAGCAATTTTGATTATGAAGCATACACAATTTATGTAGAATCTAAAATACGTTAAACATAAAGTTGGGTCATGAATCATGGTGAATGTTCATGCTATCAGGGCTTGCAAAATATCGAGTTAAAAGCCGTTGTTTGGAAAGAACCTGATTGCGTGATGATATGGATGAACTGGTTTGATGCAGAAAAAAAATCTCCAACGTTAGATTCCTAAGCGCAGCGGTAGGAGCGTGCTGATAACGTGTTGTGGTCTATTTTATCTGACAGAGAGACTCGGGCCGGCGGCAGAGAGAGAGAGAAGAGAGATGTGTGTTTGTAGAATTGTAGGGGAATGTGTGTGTTGTTATCCCTCCTACATTGTGCCTTTATTTATAGTAGTAAAGGTAGAGAAAATATTTCTTCTCCTCCAAGTAATACAAGTTGTAATAGGAAAGGATAACTAGAATCAATGCTTATCTAGGATTTACACAATTATACTTAAACTATGAATGTTTACAACAGTTTCTACATTATTGATTTAGTTTAGTAATGCAAATATATAATTTAGTAACAGAATCGGCTACAGCTGTCTTCGTTGCACCTTACGCATCTAATTGGTTCAAATTTTCACCAAGCTTGCAGAGACAATGAAATACACTGGTCCCCAAGATTGATGCAAGGGGAGGTCTTACGGCTGTGAACAGGGCCGGCCCAGGCCCAGTGCAACCAGGGCCATTGTCCAGGGCCCAAAATTTAAAGGGGCACCAAAAAAAAAAGTCCAAATAATTAGGTATAAAAAAAAAAAAAAATTTGTCCAGAGCCCAAAATAAGGAATGGAGGGTAAGAGGCCCAAATTTGACAATAAAGGAAAGGGCCCAAGTTTCAAGATTTTAAAAAAAATAAATATATATATATATATAATTAAACCGGCCAGATTTTAACCTTTAAAAAAAAAAAAAAAACAAAACAAAACAATAATGTAAAGGGACCTCCCCGGTCCCCCCCACTCCCACCTTAAAATAATAAAAAAATAAAAAAAAACAAAACAATAATGTAAAGGGACCTCCCCGGTCCCCCCCACACACAGATCTTTGTTTTTCTCAGCCACAATCCCTGCTGACGGTTGCCATTGTGCATTCACCAACCCGAGTAACTTTTGAGGTAATTTGATAAACTAATTTTTAAAATTTGAATTATTAATTCATAATTTAAATTAAATTTTGCAAGTGACATAGAATTATATGATAATTGATGTATAGAATTTTTGTTGTTGATGGATTGAATTCTTGATTAATTTGGAGATAGATGTAAACAAGGTAATTTTTTTTTATATTAAAATTCATTGAAAATGGAACATTAAGCAGAAAAATAAAATGAACATTAAACAGAAAAATACAAGAAAGAGAGCTTTCACAAAGGCTACTTAGGAGAAGTCTCAGTAGTCGGCGGAGCCTCAGCAGTCGGCGGAGCCCCAGTAGGAGGAGGTATCGGAGGTTGATCATTTGGAGCTTCAGTATGCGGTACAGCCCCAGAAGATGAAGGCAAATGTTGTTGGAACAAACCCACAAACCTCTGATGATCAAGTAAAATCTGACCATCAGATTCCTGCATCTGGTCAATTTTCCTCTTCATGTTTGTAGCATAGCTATGTGTGAGCCGGTGCAACTGTTTATTCTCCTGCTTGAGCCCTCTAATCTCCTGTTTGAGACTCATCACTTCAGCCGCCAATGATTCAACCTGGCGGGTTCGAGCAAATAGGCGTTGAGCCATATTAGACACAGAACCTGCACACTGAACACTGAGAGCCAGAGAATCCTTAACAGCTAACTCATCAGACCGTTTGGAAAGTAGTATGTTATCTTTGGGAGTGAGAAGGTTCTTGGCCACCACCGCAGTGGTCATATCATTCTTCATCACGGAATCCCCAACGGTAAGAGGACCAGTAGGGGAGACGAAGGATGGGCGCCATATGTTGTCTGGAGAAGGCGGGGCTGCCTCTTCAACAAGGTTCAAGTCAAAACGACGGTCGGAGGGGCCAGACATTTTCAAATGTATTGAAGAGAGAAGAGGTAGGATAAATCAAGATTTTAGAAGTGCACGAAGAAAGTTTCTATAGGCAGAAATTCAAGTGTGCTTTGGAACTTAATGCCAACCCCTATAAAAATCTGCACTCGGCGAAGCTTCAGAAATCGAAGAAGCGCCTGCTCAGAAATCGAAAAGGTGTTTGCTTTCTCAAAAGCTGGGCTGCTCAGAGACCACGAGGGTCGATCTCAGAAATCGAAGAGGCTTGCTTTCTCAAAAGTTGGGCTTTTCCAGATATCGGATATCGGAAAGGCAGTTTGTCGAAGCGCCGATTCCAGATATCGGAGAGGCATCTGCTTTTCCAGACGTGTCAACATCTGTCACATGCACACTCAGCCTTGCGAAAATCACGGGCAGTTTGTCGAAGCGCCGATTCCAGATATCGAAGAGGCATATGCTTTATCCAGACGTGTCAACATCTGTCACATGCACACTCAGCCTTGCGAAAATCACGGGCAGTTTGTCGAAGCGCCGATTCCAGATATCGAAGAGGCATATGCTTTATCCAGACGTGTCAACATCTGTCACATGCACACTCAGTTATGAAGAAATGCCTATAAATGTCAACCTTCACAGCAAGGCAGCCTCACTCAAACCTTCTTCATCTCCGAGAATGCATTCGCATCAAATTCTCTCGAGTCACTCAGTGTTCATTATTCCTTGGGATACCTCTGCAACAACCCATCAAAAGCAAAAGTATTTCATATCATCAGGGTTAAAAGCAAGAGTATCCCATATCATGCTTTTTCCCTGTCTTTTCCTTTGGCCTTGTTCTTACCTGCAAGACAAGGAGAAAGAGAGCAATCAGTCAGCACTTGGAATCAAGCTTCCAGCCAGGAACTGACTGCCTGGAACCCCTTACCTAATTACTTACCTGGCATTGCTCTCGAGTACTCATTTTCAACATCTTATGCTTCCAGGGAAGATACCGCATTTGCCTGAGGAACAAATAGGGCAAGTGAGAAGGATACAAGGAAGCATATGGAGACAAGCGTAACAGCACACGTGCCGATACATCCATTACTCTGTCAAAAGCAAAAGTATCCCATATCAGCAGGGTCGAACGTACTCTAGATTTGATGGACTTGTTTTGACCCTCAAATTCTTCAGTCGGCCTTATACTCTGGAGGAAACCAGAAAACCCTCCAGCTCAGTTCAAGAATAAGCCTGTGGAAAGTTATTTCTACAAAAAACAAAAGTATCCCATATCATCTCTTCTCATTTTTCTTCTCTTTATCCTTCATGATGCCTGCCGTGCAGAAGAAACAAGCAGAGAAGAATGCAGACTGCACAATCAAATCAACCCAGCAGAAGGAGTCTGAATTGAAACCAAGGAACTCTCCTATTCTCTGCTCAGAATTCCAATCCAGTTCGAGATCAAAGCTGTGGAAAGTCAATAAGATCATCTATTTCCAAAACCAGATTTACGTTCTTAAACTCTACTCTGTCTGGTTTTTACTTTACCATACTTGTCATGTTTATTCGTAGTTTGTTTGATTGCTTGTTTTGTGTGAGTTTATGCTTGAAACATTGAGGACAATGTTTGATTTAAGTGACGGGGTTCCAGTGATTATCATCGATTGGAAGGATAAGGTTCTTAGGAACAAGACCGTGCGGATAGTAAAAGTTTTGTGGAGGAACCAATCGGTGGAAGAGGCTACTTGGGAAACAGAGGATCGGATGAGAGAGATGTATCCGAGATTGTTTTATGATTATTAGTGTTGTATTTTGCTTCAAAAAATACTAGAAGACAATTTCTTAAAAGTTGAAATTTGAAGGAGATTTGCTAGGAGTGGTTATATATGATTGTACTTTTGATTGTCGGAGTTTAGGTATTATGTCCCCCCGTTGTATATTTTCTCAGGTAATATAATTTGGGCGTGAGGGCCTAGCCCCCCAGCTTCGACTGGGTTCCAGCCCTCGTTAAATATTTTTTTTTTAACATATGTTTTTGTATTAAAAATGGCACATTTTGAACTTTCGCACTGGGCACCCAAAAACTCAGGACCGGCCCTGGCTGTGAAAATGATGTCAACTTTTTGGTCTATTTAAACACTGCAGCTCCAACTCAACACTTGCACAGCCACTAGTATTTCTGCTATATCTCCTACTTATATCCACACAAATCTCTCTCCTCCTTTCTTCTCTAAATTACACTTCTGCAACAAGAGACCCTTTGCTAAGCAGTTGTCCAGTCTCAATCCCTCTCCAGGAAGATGGCTGACCGGACAACTGACGATAATACAGTCTCCAGCCAACCCCAAAAAACCATTGAAGACTTTGATCCCCCACAGAAGCCCAAAAGAAACAAGTATGCCTTTGCTTGTGCTATTTTGGCCTCCATGACTTCAATCTTGCTGGGTTATGGTAAGTAAATATGCTTCAAACTTTATTTTCTTCATTGTTTTTGCTTCTTTTATGAAGCAATAGTAGAACTGGAGAGAGCGTTCGAACTCAGACCTAAATTTGATGAATAATATTCTTAACCAACATAGCTACAATTATATTACATAATCTTAAACCGTATAATTTTGATGTCCCTTTTCAATGTTTTATGCATTAAAGAGATTAATGGAGGCTAATTAATGCTATTTCCAAAAGCATGGGAAGCACTTATTGCGTTCTAGTTTTTTACTTTGGAAACAAAGTTGTCTCCATGCATGTGTTGATGTTGGTTTTATCTACAGATATTGGTGTGATGAGTGGAGCTGCAATCTACATCAAAGACGACCTCAAAATCTCCGACGTGGAAGTCGAGATCCTCCTTGGTATTCTCAACCTCTATTCACTCATAGGCTCCGCCGCCGCAGGCAGAACTTCAGATTGGGTCGGCCGCCGGTACACCATAGTCCTCGCCGGAGCCATCTTCTTCGTCGGGGCTCTCCTCATGGGATTCGCCACCAACTACGCCTTCCTCATGTTCGGCCGATTTGTTGCCGGAGTCGGCGTCGGCTACGCCCTCATGATTGCTCCGGTGTACACCGCCGAGGTCTCTCCCGCGTCGTCACGTGGGTTCCTGACGTCCTTCCCAGAGGTTTGTTTTGTTTGTTTCTTACGTTGTCCCTTTCGTATATCAAAATAATCTTGGATATCGTTTAGAATTACTTTCGGATTGGATCCAAGTCCAACTACCCAATTGTGTACCCTTCACTTTCTTTGACTTTTCAATTTTGATGTAGCTCAAAACATTTTTGCCTATTAGGCACCAGGCTGGCATGTTAGATAACTTTTTTGCCTGTTAGGCACCTGCCTGGTATGTTACCTAATCTTGGATATTCTCTAAGGGAAAATGCTAAGAGACCTTTTTCAGACCATGTTTTAAAAATCACATGGTGTAGAGTGGTAGAGTTTATTTTGAATTTTTTATTAAAAAAAATTTAATCATCAACTGTTACATATTATATATTATTTATAAAATATAGTCTAACAAGATGCTCTCTCGCATCTAGCAACACCCTTTTCCAATTCTTTCAAAAAAGCAGATATTGCCCACTTTACAAACAAGCAAAGCTAAGAAGACAAAGTTTATCTTTTTTACGTGCACTATTTTTGTTCTCTGGATCAAAGTAAAAATAAAAATAATTAAAAAGGAGAAAACAGTCCGGAATTTATTTTTAAAGTGATGAAAAATTATTTCCATGCAATCTTTTTAGCGTTTTATATAATCTTTGGTAATTTTCATTGTTAAATTAAATAAATCAAACGAAAACTATAAATAAGAATAAACAAAGATTTGTTAAAGGCGAGTATGTGTTATTATTTCCATCAGATGATTTGTTAAAGGCTACAAAGAGTATGGTAAACGTTTGACTCTTGGCTTAGTGTATGTATTGTAAATTGTTATCCGATTACCCCTTTTCTTTTGTATTTTTCTAACAAGGGTATGACAAATAAATAATATTTTCAAGAAAGTTACTTCTTACTACCAATTTACCTAGCTTTTTTAACAACGGCAGTGCAACTTAGAACCTTCAACAAAATAAAAACTTAGAGCGTCGCTAAGCTAAATTATCATGTGCCAAAAGAATCATCATAATCCGTACAAGTATGTCATCATGATTTTTTATCTTTTAGGCCAGTGGCCCATTGTATATTAACTGAGTTGAATTTTCTTTTAAAGGTATTCATCAATTCTGGGATATTGTTGGGCTACGTCTCCAACTATGCCTTCTCCAAGCTCCCAACACACTTGGGGTGGCGCCTCATGCTCGGCGTCGGAGCAATCCCTTCCATCTTTCTCGCCGTTGGTGTCTTAGCCATGCCGGAGTCACCTCGTTGGCTCGTCATGCAGGGACGGCTCGGTGACGCGACTCGTGTCCTCGACAAAACCTCAGACTCCAAGGAAGAATCTATGCTACGCTTAGCCGACATCAAAGAAGCCGCGGGAATCCCCGAGCACTGCACCGACGACGTCGTTCAGGTCCCTAAACGCAGCCAAGGCCAAGATGTCTGGAAAGAGCTGCTCCTCCATCCAACGCCAGCCGTTCGTCATATTTTGATCTGTGCCGTCGGTATCCACTTCTTTCAACAAGCCTCGGGCATAGACGCCGTTGTTTTGTACAGCCCCAGGATCTTCGAGAAGGCGGGGATCACCAACTCCGATAAAAAGCTACTCTGCACCGTGGCCGTTGGATTCGTTAAGACCGTTTTCATCCTGGTCGCCACCTTTTTCGTCGACAAAGTCGGACGGCGTCCGTTGCTTCTTGCCAGCGTGGCGGGGATGATATTGTCGTTGACGGGGCTCGGCCTAGGCCTTACGATCATTGATCAGAACCACGAACGGATCCTGTGGGCCGCCGTTTTGTGCCTGACCATGGTTTTACTCTACGTCGCGTTCTTCTCGATCGGGATGGGCCCCATTACGTGGGTTTACAGTTCCGAGATCTTCCCGTTGAAGCTACGTGCTCAGGGGTGCAGTATCGGTGTGGCGATGAACAGGGTGGTGAGTGGGGTCCTTTCGATGACTTTTATTTCATTGTATGATGCCATCACGATCGGTGGGGCCTTCTTTCTTTACGCGGCAATCGCGTCGGTGGCGTGGGTCTTCTTTTTTACCATGCTCCCCGAAACTCACGGCCGAACCCTAGAGGATATGGAGGTCTTGTTTGGCAAGTTCCACAAGTGGAGAAAAGCTAATGCACTGCTCAAGCAGAAAAAGAATGCCAGTCATGGCGACGGTAACGCTAACAACGGTCAAGTACAATTAGGAACAAGAGGGCAAGTTAATTAGATTAGTGAGTGAATGTGATCGATCATGTGGTGGAATATTCTACGTAATGGCTATAGCTCTTTGCCAAAAAAGTATTGTATGCATCGATTATATGTAACACGCACGATAAAAGTATGTTCCTCCTCTTACTCTGCTCCAAAGAAGGAGAGGGCAATCGACCCCATAAGAAAGAAGGATTGTGTGCAATAAGAAAACATAGTTCAGATGAAATTCCATGTGTATTTTACAAGTTTGTTCTTCAAATCTGTTTTATTTGCGACTTTTATCTGTTCATCGAAAAGCAATGAGAATATAGTTTCAAATTGACCAATTTTAGCAAAAGTTGAGGAATGATACTAATTAGGCTTAAATGTAGTACAGGTCTTTAATATCATGTTAGTTTCATTAGTTTTTGAACAATTGAACTTAACAATGTGTTTACCATTGGTACTTTACACGAACACCGTCTATTTTTCCATTAAATTTAGAGGTATATTAGGAATTTCATCCTACATCACTAAAAATAAATTTAAAAATTAGAAATAAAGGTCGTACCCAGTGCACAAGGCTCCCGCTTTACGCAGGGTCTGGGAGAGGTGAATGTCGGCTAGCCTTACCCCCATTTATGGAGAGGCTGCTCCCAAAATTTAAAAATTAGAAATGAGAAAGAAAAAACAACCTTAAAAACCAGATTTAAAAAAAAAATTGAATATGTATGACGTTTTTTCGTAGTTGAATATGTGATTTGTTAGTTGTTTAAGTTCAACTACAATTCGATCTCCTCCCAACTTTGACATTGCATTGCCTAACATTTAAAAGTTGTTAAAGTCCAACCATTTTCATTTTGTATTTTTATACTTCAAATTCATTTTGTTTAAAGTTTTTTTTTTTTAACAAATAATATTATCTATACTAAGGGGGAAGAGGTGGGCTTAGCCTCACAATAGGCTAGCAATAATGTGTTTCAAATTTTACTTTGTAGAGAATTGAACCTAAGATCTCTCACTTGCAAGTGAAGAGGAATACCACTAGACCGTAGTGTTAAGTGGCATTTTGTTTTTAAGTTTTAGATATTAATTTATAAATTTTCATTTGTTTTTCAGCTTCTTCTATTGTTTTTTGAAGTTTTCAATTGAAGTTCTTAATATACCCTAGAATTAACTGAAAAAATACGTCGTTAATGAAAATGACCAATGGGACAACATAATGTTAAGTTTGATAACTAAAAAAATAATGGGAGAGTGTAGAGATTAAAATTAAAGGAAAAATAATGAAAATAGCTTGAAAACTTTGAGTTTTAATAATAAAGACAAAATACAGGGTAAAGTGAATAGTATCAGAATTGACTTTTTAGTGTAAAAATATGATTTTTCGTTAAATTGAACAATACCTAAAACTTTTCGTTAAAGTTCTCTAAAATTAAACTATAGGTAAAGTTCAAGACTATTCTTACCGTATAAAGCCAACTGAGTGATGCTATTTTATTGATATATTTATGGGATAAGGATCCTCTGTATGTTTTTTTCGTACAAGATTATACAAGGCTTTTGAATTCTAGCAATCGAACAAATCTGAAAGGTTAACAATGTGCCACGTTTTTAGTGAACTTAAAGTACTTAAATGACTTAAAGTATTTTTAGAAAAATTATTTTTTAAACTAATTTTTGGTAAAAATAAATTTAATGTTTGAAAAAACACTTGAAGTTGCAAGAAGAATAAAATTGATACTTTTGCGGAAGCATTTTAAATACTTTTAAAATCTAAAAATATTTTTTAAGTTGTTTTTAATCATTTAAAAACATTTTTAAACGAGCATGTACCCATGTAGTGCATTCTTCCCAACTTTTTCTTCTCGACTATTCCTCTACCACCACTGCAACTGGCAATTGCATGTATCCTCCGAATCGGCTAGATGCAGTTGAGTCCCAGATCCGAAATCCGAAATCCGAAATCCTACATCGCACTTCCTAATATACAGCCACCAAAATACAGGAATTTCGCCTTTAATTTTATTATTATTATTTTTTTGTTAGAATTTATTTTATTACTTTCTAATTAATTAAGTTGTAGATCAAATGCAATGGTGATGATCGAGAGTATTGCACAGACATGCACGGGAAAAGTCAGGCTGAGGACGTGCAAGATCACGTGGACCAATAGTTTTTTTGCACACGTAAAATATTTTTTTTGGGGGGGTAGAGCAAGGGACAAAACTCCAATGATCACGTGGACCAATAGTACTTTTCGCACACGTAAAATATTTTTTGGGGGAAGAGCAAAGGGACAAAACTTCAATAATTGAGAAAGGAAGGCAGTTAAAAATGAAAGAGATAATTACTTAGAGATCATACTTCTTAAATCACATCATATGATGATTGATAAATGAATTTTCATTTTAACAATATATAAAAAAAATATCAATCGCACAGTAAAAGTATTTTTTTTTCAAAACATAGCAATACCAAACCAACCTTAAAAAGAACTGTGGTTGGCCATAACCCTGGAAAATTTTGACAAAACCTTGAGCATCCATTGCTTTTTTTTGGGAAGAATGGGGAGAGGACCACACGGATTGCACATGGCCTCTGCAATCTACATATGAATAGGATTCAGTGTCGTTTACTTGTTTTAACCTTCTTGAGAAGGCAAGGCTCAGACTTTCTGCCTTTAACGTCGAAGTCGTACTCCAATATTACAGAGACTTATCGGGAAGAAGAAGATTTTAAAACCCTTACCGTTTAATCTTGGTTTTGGTATGTGAGGATGTTTATTGTTCCATTCAAAATCTAGTTTCGGACGAATCCTTCATCATTTTCTTTGACATCAATATAAAATATTTCATTCCTCCTATGTTGGTAACTTGAACTGCCGATATTTCATCATTGGTTGGACGTCCTATCGTAATTACGGATGTGTATTAATTGTACAAGTAATTATATTGTTTAAGGAAAATTATATATTTTAATAGCTAGTGTCTGGTCCCTACTATCCAAACTTCCTAGCTTTGCCACTGTTCTTTTGGTGTTGGAGGTAGCTTAACTTATTGTTTGTCTGGGTTTTTTTTTCTTTTACTTTTGGGTGCATATGGCATTTTAATTTTTTTTTTTTTTTGCACATCCAAATGGATCTCAAAGTTACTTCATATTTATCTATTTTTTTTCTTGTGCTATTTTTGCATTTTTGTTTTGTCTTATGAGAAATTTACACATTCACTTGAACAATGACAGAGCCAAAATTTTATGTGTGGGAGACCCTTTCACATATTTAGGTAATTTAAACTCAGAACATGAGATATTAGAGTAATTTGTATAAAAATTGAAAGACCTTAAATTCATTAAAGAGGACTAAAAACATTGCACAAACCCAAAAACCCGAGTATGAGGTCAAGAGTAAGCAAGAATTTTTATAAAAGATAAGTTAAGGCCAGGAATGAAAGAGAGTTTGGATTGAGAACACATTTGAATTTTATGAGTATTAGACTGATATGCAGCAACAGCAACATCTATTATAGTAGCAAGAAGAAGAAAAAAAGGCAAGATGTATCAAAGATCATTCTGGTCCCTTAGTGGCTTCGCCACTGCATTTGAGCTCGTAAGCTAATGTCTCTTCTTAGTTCCGGTTGCGGGTGGGGTTTAGGGTAATAGGATTAAAACCGTTTACCTTATTAAAGTCATAGCAGTCATTGATGTCTTCTAGCACCATGCTCTTCTTTTAGACATTATTCCTATACTAAAACCCAAACTCGAGTGTACTATTCATGGACAGTAAAATGGCGCAAATGTTGTTCTGGCTGGCTTTTGTTTGGCTTCTCTACAGTGAAAATGCATTTTCCCCCTTCCTCTCCAGATGTGATCCCTGGAAGACACATTGTTATCTTCTCCACTAAATGTTGGGAATGCAGGCATCTTGAAGTTGAGAGGAAAGGGATTATGCTCATCAATAACTTCGGGTAGGGCTTCTAATAAGCGATTCTAAATAGCGGGCGAGCTTGTGGCTGGGCATTCCTCACCACCATCATTCTTAACTCAGGCAACTCATCTTTGAGTTGTTGGCTGGCTGTATTATTAGGCGGGGTATGAGGAGGCAGTACCCACTTCAGGCTACGAACGTTGCCTAAGTTAATCTCCTTTCTTGGCTCGGGCTTTCTCCACTTGAACTCCCTTCCTTTAATGACCATTGGCGATGGCCTATAAGGTGGAGGTTTGTCTGCTTTAATAAGCTGTCATTTCCTGCTAGATTCCCCGATTAACTGGGGGCATCCCATACTTCGTTCTTTCTTACCCGCTATGCCCCCTACTATTTAGTGAAAATAGGGGGTCGAGCAACTCTGCTTCTAGCATTTCTTCCAATACTGGCTGACTAGCTCCTGATTCTTCTTTATCATTTCCTTTATTCCTTTTTTTTCTCAAGTAAAGGAAATAGAGGAATAAATATTCATCCACAAGTCTATTTTCCCACATGGTTTCTCTAGCATGATCATTTTCTGAGGTAGGGTACTCCAGATCCAGCCTCCTTTGCAGATGTCCTCTTAAGGAATAGAGTCGGCTTACTTCTCTATTGTTTGTAGAGAGTTTCTCTCCATGCTCCTTATCACAACCATCATACAGTAGCCTGCAAATTTTCATTTGTGACCTTTTCTCCTGATTTCTCAGAAGGGGTCAAGTTTTCCGTCAAGGCGGATCCTTGCAAGTCTTCTAGGAGATTTGCCATGCTAGATCTTAGTGTATACCAGGGTGATTTTTGCTTTGATTCCCACCTAAATGTTTGTTCCTTCCTTTATCTTTTTGGCATACAAGATTTGTGGTCCCAGTGGGAGTGCCAAAACTATGTTCAAGCAGGAAATCCAGCTGATGTGCATTCCTGGCTCAAGCACATAACTCCCTGAGGAGTTGGCACTTTGGTTGATTGTCGGGCTCCTGCTTGTCGCAATGCTGCAAGAGGAGAACAAAGTTAGTTCTGAAATGCGCCTTTATGGGGCCTTAAGTGTAGGCCTTGAAACTCACAATCAAAACCAACTAAGTGCTTAGGTGTGTCACTGTCATCTCTGTATGGCAAATGTAGAACAAATGTGTTTTAAGTAGATTACTTGTGCCCCAAGTTATTTATGACTTCTTGTTTATCAAAGGATTGTTGTAGATAGGTTAAGTCTACATTAGGTTCTTTTCTATGCCTTGAGATTAAGGACTTTTAGTTATCTTGTATGTTTAAGGGGTGAAGGTCCAAATCTGATCAAGACATCAGTTTTAACTC